ATCTTTACCGCACTGGGTTGCGAGGTAATTTACCCATCTTCATTCAAACTTTCTGAAGGACTGCACTTTCCAAGTTAAGATTGGTTCGTTGCTTTCTCAAGTATTTGTATAACAAGGTGTACCCCATTCGGTGCTCAGTGTCACTCTTTTCAGCCTGAAAATTAATTCCATTTTAAGAGAACTTCCTCCCACAGTGCATGGTTCCCTGTATGTTGATGATTTGATGATCCATTGTCACATTCAAGATATGAGATACATTGAGAGACAACTACAAATTGCTCTAAACAGAATCATAAGGTGGTCCAACAACAGTGGTTTTAAATTTTCTAGCCAGAAGACTGTCTGTGTGCATTTCTGTCAAAAAAGAAATCTGCATCCTGATCCAGAGCTGCACCTTGATGGCTCTTTGATCCGCATTGAGCCAGAAGCAAAATTCTTATATTTGACAGAAAGCTCACTTTCCTTTTTCATATCTTAAATCTAAAGAAAAAATGTGCTAAAGCTCTGAATATACTGAAAGTTCTGGCCAATACTTTATGGGGAGCAGAACGCTGTTCTATGCTCCGCATTTATAGAGCTTTAATCCGTTCCAAACTTGACTATGGCTGTGTTATCTATGGATTTGCAAGACCTTCTGTGCTACTGAAATTGAATCCAGTCCACCATCAAGCGCTACGGGTTTGCCGTTGAGCTTTCAGAACATCTCCAGTCCAAAGTTTATGTCATCTGTTTTGAACCATCTCTGGAATTCAGACGCAAGCAGTTTTCCATTGATCTTCATTATAAAGTAATGTCACAAGCCGACCATCCTGTCTGACTCATGACATCCAATCAGTACTGGCGTATCTACGAAGCACATCCTTCATGTATCCCACCTTTTGATCTTTGCATTCTCTCACTGATTGAAGATTTCATTCTAAAAATTCTGCATCCCAAAAGCTTTAACTTTTTCGGTATTGCTCCCTGGCAAGAAGTAAATATTCACCTACTTAACATGTTTAGAGAACTTGAGAAGAGCCCAATGATGTCCAATATCAACAAATTTTCCTACAACATAGAAGCAGTCATTCTAACTATAAAGCAATTTTTACTGATGGCTGAAAGACTCATGATCATGTCGGGGCAGCTTTTGTTTGTGATAAAGAAATCAAGAGTAGTAAACTTCATGAAGCTGCATCTTTCTTTACTGCAGAAACTTTCATCTACTCTGACTCTCTGAGCGCTCTTGAATCAATAAATATAAATATTAGCCACCCTTTGGTCTTAGAAATTTTAAAGGCACACCTCCGTTTGAGAAACACAGGTTATTCTATTGCATTCTGCTGGGTGCCTGGACGTGCTGGCATCAAAGGCAACGAACTCGCCGATTGCGCTGCAAAATCTGCTGATATTACCTCTGAAAATGATGTCTCTTTTACAGACATATGGAAGTACATCAGAGCAAAGATCTTGTCCAGGTGGCAAGAACTCTGGGAATGCCAGACTCTAAACAAATTAAGGCAGGTGAAACCCAATTTGGAGCATTGGGAATTGAGAGAGAGAATCGAAAGGAGAATGTACTGCTGACTCGCCTACGAATTGGTCATTGCAGACTGACACATCAGTATCTCTTGAAAGGAGATAATGAGCCTATTTATGGCATTTGCAACGCTCCCATTTCAGTCAATCACATTTTAACCTGCTGTCCTGCTTTTAGTCAGAAACATGACTATCATTTTAACTCTACGAATGTTAATTTAACAGATCTCATTGGAAGAAACACCCACATAAGTTTTTTAAAAGACATCTCTTTTTACCATATGATTTGAAGTTCTTTTCCTTTCATTCTGCTCTACCTGTTGCTAAAGCATCTCTTAAATTCATTTCTTTATGCCTTCATCAGCATTACAGGCTCATTTCAACAACTCATCTGATACAGTGTGTATATACATTTTGGATTTTATTCACCATTTGTCTGGCACATAATAACCTTCAAGGTTTTGTTCCATTAAAAGCCAACCAACTTAACAAATGTATCCAGCACACAATTATTTGTTGATTTGTAATTAACATTTATCATCTGAAGGAAACGCAGCGCTAGAGCCGTTGCAGCCGCAGCTAACGCCAAATTTTTTAGAACATAGGAGGTTTGGTATGTTTATTATGCCAAAGGCAGGTGAATTTAGAAAAACCATGAAATCGCTCATGCAGCCACCTCAATCACCAGGGCTTGAACCTAGGTCGAACTACCAGTGTTAAGCGACTTTCTCTCCGCTAGCACTTAGGGAGGAATTGAGAGTTAGAATTAGGTTATTTAGATGTAGCAAAGCCACGAGGGCCACCTGCTTAAAATGCTATAAGGCTTTGTGAAGGAAGTTTCTGAAGGTTTATTTAAGTTTATTATGGCAAAGCACATTAGGGATATCTGCCTAAGGGAAGGAATACCTTCATTGAGGATTTTCTTAGAGAAACTGGCTTGTATACACATTACACACGGAAAACCACAAAAACGCCCATGCTGTGAGCCTCTTCATCTGGATTCGAAACCAAGGTCAGAACTACCAGGGTTCAGCGATTTAAGCCCTTGGCCACTGGTGGGTCTTCTGGAGGAAACTGGCTCACTTGCTATCTTGTTACACATGGGGAAAACCAACCATGCAGCCAGCTCGTTTGCCCGAACTCAAATCCAAACCAGTTCGAACTTCCAGTATTCAATAGTCTTAACCATTTGATTCCAGGCGTAGGAACGACAGATATTGTAGTGAGCAGCAAAAAAAACCTAATACTGATCCTGGTTACTAGTAGGATTATAATAAAATGGTAATCGTCGAATCTACAGCAATAAAATTTTGGTGCATAATTGTGAAGTCGAATGCGATACTCCAATAAATGTGATATATGTAGAGACTGAAACATTTTTTTTTGAAAACTCATTGTTCAGGGACGTGTAATTATTAGTAACATATTATAAAATTTATTCTTAATTTAGCGTTTATGAATTTGTCGAGTTATCTCATTGCAACATTTTTTCTTCTTCGAGTAATCCAATATAATTGACTGATTTCTGGTAAGTTTATGTTCTGTAATATTTTTGTGTGTTATGTGTTATTTCTTTTTTACAGTGCTATCTACAGAGTTTATTTTTCATTCAAAGTTAGAAAAAATTTAACGTTATACTAAGTATAACGTTTACTTTGTATAGAAAGTAAACACTTTGAAACAAACAGATGTGAGGTTTCATTTTTAAAGATACAGAAATATTCTGCAGAACACTTTCTATAAAAGTAATTTTATAAAATTTTGCCTAGTTTTCTGAGTTTGAAATTATCGTACTTCCGTTTCAGTAGCGGCGGATGATCAAAATTTTATGAGAATACAGCAAAGCATCTTTTTAGAAATGTTGTCATAATTTTTAATGCAAAATCTTCTGTCTTCAATTTTATGAATGTAATTTCCGGGTTAAGTAAAAAAAAATAATGTATGAATTATGTCGCGATTTGATAAGTAGTCTTTTTCCTTTTATGGTAAAGAAGTGTCAGCTTTTTAGTATTTTGTAGCAGGCTCGAATCAGAACTACTTGGAATTTGTTCTTTTCGTTTACTCCCGTTGGCAGTTGCAGTTCAGGAATTGCTGAGATGCTGCTCAGCAAATATGACTTTTGACCTGAGTGACTTAAGTGTCAGAATAGAATACAGCACTCCACACTGACAACTAAAAATAATCATAACATTCTTGGTTTTTAATCAGTCTATTAACATTGGGCAAGAGCAGTTAACTGTGAATTAATTTTTCTCCTATGTAAGTAGTTGTGATTAAATGTGGTAACATAATTTTATGTAATAATGCATAATATTTATCATATTTAGTACAAATAACTTGATACTGTATTACTTTGAATTTAAATTATAGTAGAATTTTAAAATTATAAAATTACAAAGAGTAATTTAAAAAAATAACTGCCTTTGAATTTAAGCCATGTAGAATTTTGATACTTACGTAGAACTCCATTGACCACAAAAGTTGGCAGAAATCCCCTTAAAGTCATGCCAGTCTTTCTTTGGGATTCTGAGTTGCACTTCTGTCGGCAACTTTTACAATAAAACATTTTTTTGTCTCTCTTCATAATCTACGAAATAGTCATTATTGCAGTAGTGTTTGAATCATTTTGCTTTTCTGCTTCATAAAGAAATTTACATCAATTTTTTGTTACATCCTCCAATTTTACGGGAAGCTCTGTTTAGAATGTTATAAATACAAACTTCCTGCAGGTAATTGCTCCAGTCTATTTCTGTTTTGTTGGACTTATCTCTCTGTTCTGTTTTTTCATTCAGCAAATGTTAATTCTTTTGACCAGTTATAAATAAATCAGAGTGCAGTCACAAATGAGTTCAAAATACAAAATAAATAAATAGAGGAATAGCAGTTAGTTTATCTTCTTGTTCATAAGAACAAAAGATCAATTATCAAGAATCAGTCACTTATATCAAATGAAACCACAGATGTTATGAGTGTATTGGGATGTCACACTTATCTATGATGGGCGCTAAATCATGCTGTTTAGCAGCAGTTTTATGGTCGACAAGATAATATGTAAGTACCAGCATCTTAAAGTTTGGAAACTGCGAAAATAAGGTACTAATATAAAGAACTATCTAATAAATAAATCTTTGGCTGCTGGTACATTAACAAAAATAAAATGTTCAAACATTTGCTTTGAATTTAATACGTGCCCTAATTTTACATATTAAAAATCTGAATGAAACAGGCTGCTTAAAGTAATCCCGATAATTTAATATATTTAAAATTTAAGCTTAAAATTAAATTTTGAAAAATGTATATTTCATTTTCTTATTTTTTATTGTTATTAGCATAATTAGGCTATAGTATAAAATCTTCAAAATGAAATTCTCTGAGGTACAGCATCTTTGACTCTTTATGCATTTAGTGTAAAATGTCAACACGTTTTATTGATGAATTGATGAACTTCTTCAGCAGTAATGTGTTTATTTTTCCCCTCCCAGGTGTATGTTGATAAATATTCATCTTGCTCATACTTTGATTTTTTGTCACCTGTATCATTGATTGTGGGGAAGAAAAGTGGATGCATTGATGTGGTTGATTTCCGAAATGGGTATGCTTGATACTGGTGCTACATGGGATTCATTATCTCATATAAATATATGTAATGTTTTAATTTGCTTCTTTTGCTGATGCTTGTCTTCATTTCTTTTCTTCCGTTTTAGAAAATCATCTGCAAAAAGTCATGAATGTCATGGACATCTAATAGAAACTGTAAGCATTCATCCTATAAATAAACATTATTTTATTACAGCCATGCATAGGTAAGTTTAAAATCTTCTAAATGTGGTTTCTTAATAGTATATGAGTGTTTTTAACATTATCTTAAAACAACTCTCATACCATAAATATATTAAAACATAATACAGTACAAAGTCTCTAATCCAGACGTCCATTATCCTGAATGATCTATAATCCGGACCTCAAAGCCACAAATTTACGCAAGCGCGTTTGATGTGCGCGTCTGCTACGCATGTGCGTAAAGCCAGTAAAGCATTTACCCATGCGCGCTTCCGATAGTGAATAAAGTAACAGAGAACGTTAGTGGAAACGAAAAAATTTCGTTTGACAAGTTAGTTGGTATTCTCGACACAGCAATGACAGGACTTGAACAGTGGAACTTTGTAACTGAACAAGAAATGATATCTGTTTATAGAATTAAAGAGAAAGTATAAGTGCAAAAAATGAAGCAACTTAAACAACTTACATTGATAGAAATGTTTACTAAGGTAAACAAATAAATGTTAAGGTGTTTTTTTTTTTTTTTTTTTTTTTTTTTTTTTTTTTTTTGTAAATTTTGATACCCTTTAGATCACAATTGCTCTTTATTTCATAAATTACAGTTTCATATTTTTAATTGTATTATTTCTGCATGTCATCTTACCAGATTTAAATTGATGATCTATAATCTGGAAAACCCTTTAATCCGGAATCGCCGATCCCCACGAGTCCGGATTACGGACTTTGTACTGTACTGGTGATTATTATTACTCCCCCATTTTTAGTGAGTATTATTTTTCATCGCTATATTAGCATTATCTTGTTAAGTGAATAGTTCAATAAATATATCTTCATATAATTTCTGTAACTTATATATTTTCATGACTTATTAATGTTTTCAACGTATTTGTTGAAAGAGAATAAAAATGTAGGTTCTCTTTCGTGTATAGATTTTATATTTCATGTATTTTTGTAGCTGCCTGATTTTTTATTTTCTGAACTGCTGATATAACTAACACCCTGCTAAATTTTTTAGGACTGTTAGTGTATGGGACTTGCGAAAGTTGCAGAGAAAACCTGTGGCTAGTATAACTCATCCCAAGAACACTACAATTTCAGCTTATTTCTCACCTGTAACAGGGAATTCCATACTTACAACATTTTGTGATCATTCATTATGGTAATTTGAAGAAGGTTTATTTTAAAAGTTAAATGTGTGTGCATGTTTCTGGTTTTCCTTTCCTTTCTTTTTCTTACCTACGTACCTACCCAAAAATTCTTTTAATTTTTTTTTCTTTTGATTTATGGTTTTAAAAAAAGCACTGTTTTCTGCTCCACTTTATATTGCCCAAATAAAAATAGTTTTTTTAAGTATTAAAGAAAGGCCTTAAATTTTCAAAAGAAAAGAAGGCTATTATTAAGTAATTTAAGCTATTAATTCTGTTTTTGATGTACTTCTTAGATAATGAGCAGCACTAAATATTTGAATTAAGCAAAAATAACAAGTTTTGAAATAATGCATACGAGATGTGTGTGTGTATATATATATATGTGTGTGTGTAAGATAAAAATATATAAATCAAAATTATAACTTAAATCAGCAAGAGTCCCTTATTTCTTCATTTTATTTCGCATATCTCTTCTGCCCTAAAAGTAGGAATTGTTTATATAAAATTATTCTGGACTCTGTCTTTTGTCTCTGTTTTTCTGAATGCGCACTTATGTTCTTTCCTTTTCCTACTTCACTTGCTGCTGCTAACTATGCATCATTTGCTAATCTTATTAAATCATTATCTAAAAGTGTGAATACCTATACAATGTTGTGGATATTGCACCGATAACGATGGTTTGTGAACCTGACTTGCTTCTCAAGGCTTGCTGTATTACAAAATAAAACTGCAGTACAAAGTCCGAAATCCAAACGTCCATTATCCGGAATGATCTAGAATCCGGACCTTAAAGCCACAAACTTTTTTTTTTTTATTAATCTTTCCGCATGCATTTGATTTTTATTTTCATAATAAAACATGTGGAGATAGATTTTCACTTAAAAATTCCGATTCTTAATTTCACTTAGGCACTAAATAAAGTACCTTGTTATGGAAAAACAATCATGTAAGCATAATTTTGTGAAATTAATAATTTGGTTCTGTAGCTAAGTATCTGCTTGGCATACATCTCAAACCGAAACATTCACCTATTTTATATCCCTGACACCGACCTGGCGAGTTATTATTATATTTTTGCTTTCATCACCGCATGTTTAACAATACATGACAGCTTCAGTAATAACTCATGCTGTGATGCCTAAACTTTTTTATATTAGTAATTCAATAACAAGAGTATGGCAACCTTTTATGCTAACACTACGCTTGGCGATGATTCTAGATTTTTAAATGCTTTAAAAAATGTTGACGAGGAAAAATTCAACAAAAATTTCTTTTCATATGGTAAAAATATATTTTGTTAATGAAACTCATAGGCCAAAAGATTACATTTAGTGCTATTTTAATTAAGAATAACTGATATGTTATTTACCGTAAACTCAGAAGCGGGGGCAGAGTATGTCGGCACCACACGGCAGAATTTAGGGAAGGCGAAATTTTTAGAATTTGGGAAAACACCGAGCGGCAAAATTAAGGGATAAGAAGTTTTTTTATGATTTAGGGAAAGCAATGGTATGCAAATTTTAGGTGCGGTGAAAATTTAGAACTTAGGAAGGCGCTTTGTAGCAGAATTTAGGATCCGTAGAGACTGTACTATGCGGTCTTTAGCGCCGGCCCTAGATAAAGCGTTAAGTATATGTGGGAGTTTATTTATTCAGTACTTGGATTAGTTTTAAGCATATGCAAGAAATAAACATAGGTATAGTAAATAACTAAACTAATACAATTCAGGCTTAATTCAGTACGCAATAGGAGCAAGACAAAATTTAGCGTTGGTTTGTAGCACCCCGTGTTTTCCTTTCTTTATAATTTACGACTTGACTGCAAATGATCATCATTCACATCTCTACGCCCCACTATCGGTCAATCAGTAAGACTGCTAAAAACGATCATTTGATACCATGCCTGGTTGCACTTGGATTTTCCAATGACTTTTTAAGGGAGAATGTGTCTTACTGATTTTGCATATTCGCACAATGAATAACAGACATTATTCCTTAAAAAGTACTCCATGAAACATCCCTCCTCAGATAACCATACTGTATTTTGCCTTAATTTAAAGAATTCACTTGTAAAATCTATCAACCTAATCGCTGGGAGCCAAATCTAAGAACTGTCAATGCTTGACGCCTTTGTTCTTCCTCTACTAATTCCAAGAAGGGCACAGACTATTTAGCGAGTCAAAAAATATTATTATAAAATTTTTAAAAAGGAAAACTTGAAGTTCTCTGATGAATACTGAATTAATAAATTATGGCAAAGCTCATGAGGATTACCTCCTGGAGTGAGGATGTTTCCGCAGAGGAGTTTCTGAGGGAAATTGTCACGTACTTAATATAACAGATAGCAATAACCTTTCTCAACAACCCCTGGCAACAACAGTTATAGATGGAAAAAGTTGCCCAGGAGAATTAATTTATCTTTCGGAGGGGAAAAAATAATTATCCAGTATAAATCTCAAATACAAATGACTGCCAAATCCATGCGACGGAAAGATCACTAATTGTTGTCATGCTTACAAATGGGAAAAAATTAAATTGCACTGTAGAGGCTAATGCTTAGTGAGTAATTTCTTTGGAAATGTAGTTTCAGTTCCACATGTTTTGAATTATACAAGTTTTAAGATTAAAGGTTCATTTTTCTAAGGATGCGATTTTTCTTTATATTTAAAAAGGAATTAAGTTACTTTTTATTTTAAGGTGTATAATATTTGTACATGTTAATGACAGAACGTTTCATTTAATGCACATTGGTGTCTCAGAAAGGACCCAATTTAAAATGTAATGATGGAAGCACAGTGCCCCATTTCCCTCGCACATTCTTAATTTTGATATGATACATGCAAAAATCTAAAATTTGATCATTTTCAACGTTGGACCTTTTATGCTAAAACAAAGGATCAACTCAAGCGGTTCTCATGGTTTTCAATGCTATTAGTCTATTAACTTCGGAAAAGACCAATATATTTTAATTGCTGTTGTCCTGTAGGAGAATTTAAGGTATCTGGGGAAATGAGTTTCGTTAGACCCATTTCTGCATGTTGTTGCTGCTTGTTTAGAGATCTAAGATTATCCTGATCTAAGGTCATATCTGTACTTCTGGCATCAGCTACTGGGAGCTATAACCAGTACATTAAATATTATACTATTATACCATAGGGGATAGGCCAATAAAATTTTATAAGTAATAAAGGTGCATGTTTTTAAATACAGGACACTCGAAGGAGAGATCAATAACATGAGTCAACTCAGTAGATAGCAATATATAATGCCAATAATCTATAGAATATCATGGCGCAGCAGATAAGCAGCTTCATCAATGGCGGCTTGAGGCGAAATGAAAGAGTCTTAGCAACAGGGCGAGGAAGTAATATTCGTGACAAGGGAGAGCGTCACCCAATTTTTAATTAATACTTGTTAACATTTAATTAGTTTAAAAACACATTCCGTCAAACATTGATTGTTAAATACTTGCTTTATTCAGAAACATTATCGTCAACATTACTGCTCAAAAAACATTACCGTTCAAATTATTATCGTTCTGATAAAAACTGTTGTTGCCAATCGGGAAAATACATTTTAAATAAAATTAATACATTGCGTTTACATTCGGGCATCCTGACTTAGTTACGACCTCGGAACATTAAGAACTTATATTTAAAAAAATTAAATCTGTAATATTAATGTTTATAGATCGAAAGTCTTTAGCTGTCATCTAGATTCACCGTCGTTTTCTATTCTTTTTCCGTGTCCTAGTTTTAGTAATATGCGGCATGTTGTTATCATTATCCCCAGTAACACTAATGTCATCACCATTATCATCGTCTTCTTCTGATTCAGCTTGACACTGCCATAACTTTAATTGGCTCACATGAGCTGTCGTACTAAAGAAATGTCCTTTCACCTTCTCTTCTAATTGAGTCACTCTATAGGTATCACTTGGTAAAACTTCTGTAACTACCAAAGGTCCTCGATACTTTTGTTGTGTTTTGGTTGATTCTCCAGTTGATTTAGGTACTCTTCTCATAACTACTATTTCTCCTCGTTCGAATGTTAAAGAATTACTTTTCTTCTTGTCATAATTTGCTTTCATTTTCATCTGCATATCTTCAATTCTCTTTCTAGCTTCATTCTGTAAGATTACTGGATTCTCCCATTCATATGCGTCTTCATCTGTAATCATCCTCATCAATCCGTCGTTAAATTTTGGTGAATAACCATGAAGCATTTCGAAAGGAGTTTTATTTGTAGTCTTATTTATCATATTGTTTAGGTTTCTTTCGCCTTCCTTAATCTTTTTGTTCCAGTCTCTCTGATTCGGATTTTCCATACTCGTTTTAATCGTAGCCAAAATTGTTCGATTTGCTCTTTCCACCATTCCATTACCACTTGGATGCTGAGTTGAATTGAGTGTATGACTGATTCCATTATTTTAACAGTACTCTCGAAATTCCTTCGCTGTGAAACATGTTCCTCTATCGCTGATAATTTTTCTGGTAACCCAAAATCATCTACAAAACTCTTCAATGCAACTAACACATACTTGGTTGCAGTACTTTTCATAGGATATAAGCGTGTAAATCTCGTAAAATTATCAATTATTACAAATAATTCTGCATTTCCTCTTGAACTTTTTACGAATGGTCCTAAATGATCTATATGTATAATTGCAAAAGGTCTTCTTCTACCAGGTCTAATTGGATGCAGTACTCCTTGTTTCTTACCACTAGGCATTTTATTTACTAGGCATTCGAAACACATCGAAATGTGACGCATAACATATCGTTTCATTCCTTTAAACCAGTATGATTCCTTGATTTTGGCAACAGTTCTGTCTGCTGAAAAATGTCCCAAAAGATCGTGAAATTTTACTACAATACCTTTTCTCATCGATTTAGGTATGACATATAACAATTTCTCCTTTTCCTGGTCTTTCACTTTACGAAACAATCGATTATTCTTCAAGAGGTAATTTTCAGTTACATATTTCTCTGCATTCGTTCTATCATTTATCT